TGGTGAGGCGGCGGCGGGGAGAGCCTGGAGGAAGCGGCGGCTTCGTTGTGTCGCTGGCGAGGGCGGTGTTTGCCCCCGTCTGCCGCCGGGGAGCCGTGTCCTGCCGCGGGCGGTGCGTTGAGGGGGCGACGGCTTCCCTGGAGCCGGGCCGGGGAGGGGAGGGCGGGGGGTGCGCCATGAGGGGCCCCTCCGTCCTGGGCCGGAGAAGGCGGCGAGTAAATGAAGGCCTGTGTGTCCGCATCCTCCCGCCGTCGTGGGTTTGGGGGCGTCTTCTGACGGCTCCTTGGGGCGGGGGGGGGTGTCCTCCTTGGCTCCTGGGCCGGTCCCCGTGAGGGGGCTCGGATGTTGGTTATAATTTGTTTTTAGACCGACCGAAGGCGGGTGCTGCAGGGGTGAAAGGGGTTGCCCACAAAAGGTGCCTGGTCGGGCCAGTGAGCCCTGCTTCGGGTCTGACATGGAGGCGGCAGGTTCCCGAAGGGAAATGCCTGGCAAGAGGGGTTGCTCAGAGGTTAATTAGGTTGGTATCGGACGGGAAACGCTTGAGTTATTAGTGGGGAACGCGTCTTGCAAAACAGTCGCTCGGTTCACCGTGCCTCGGCCTGATGTCCGGGACGTTTTGGCCTGGATCTGCTTTAAAGATGGAAATTTTGGGTTCATGAGCTTCTGACTACTGGAGGGGGAGCCCAGTATTTCAGTACAGGTGCCGGCTTTGTGCCCTGCTGAGGTCTCTCCATGACTCACAGCCAGAAGACGCTTGTAAGCTGTGCCTTTTGTTTTAGGATTTTTTCCACTCCCCCTGCCCCCCTCCCCCAGTATCTGCTGGTGCTTTCACCAGTCACTGCAGCCTGCCCAGAGCTGGGGTTCACCTGGATCCCTCACTGCCTTCAGCACCACGCTTTCCGACCTGGAGAGCGTCTTGGGAAGCCCGTCTCCTCCCAGTTGTGCCACCCAGGGCAGTCCGGGATCACTCCCACCAGCAAGACTTCCTGCTGGCAGCCACGGGGTGTCACGAGTGCTACCTTCGCACGGGTCTGTGGCCACTGGTCTGGCACTTCCCTTAGGCAGACGGGCTCTGCTGACGGGCATTGGGGCACTGGTGGTCCGACTTCCCAGCCAAGGGTCCTGAGAAATGGGGAGAGGTCTTCACCACCAGGTTTTGTGGGCCACTAGCCGAGTTACGGTGGTCCTTCCTGCCCTCCGCTCTTCCCTTTGGTTTTCACTTTTGCTTTCCTAAGCACTTGCGTTCCTTCCCAAGACGCAGGGATATCAAAACGGTCAAGGAAAGTTCCTCTGGTGTAGAGTTTTAAGAGAGAAAAGGAGGTTATAGTGACTCATGCTTCATGGTAGCCACTCCCCAGCTCCTAAAGCCGTTACGGTGCCTGCTGAAACTCTTGTTTATACACAAGTCGTGGACAAGTTCTTCCTGCAATTATTAGTGCTCCCTGAGTGGCAATTGTTATTAAAAAAATGTATTTTAAACTAAATACAGTATTTTTTTAGATCTCGCATTACCTAATGAGGGGTATTTGTGTTACAATTGCCTATGCAGAAATGGAAAATACCATATGCGAAGTTAGAAGCTCATTGAATGCAGTTACAGTGGTGACAGTTATTTTGGCTATTTAGTTGGAAAACTAAAATAGTAACTGGTGAGATCACGATGAGGGAGCCAGCCCAGCAGCTCCTTGGTAGCGGTGACAAATGCTTGGGTCTGTGAGCCCTTGGCTGGGGAGGGGAAGTGGCCGGGCGGGTTGCAAAGAGGCAGGATAATCTACTGGAGTGTCATCTTATGTGATCTGAGAACTAATATAGAATCATAGAATGGTTCAGGTTGGAAGGGACCTTAAAGATCACCTAGTCCCAACCCCCCTGCCATGGGCAGGGACACCTCCCACCAGACCAGGTTGCTCAATGCCCCATCCAGCCTGGCCTTGAACACCTCCAGGGATGGGGCATCCACAGCTTCTCTGGGCAACCTGTTCCAGTGTCTCACCACCCTCACAGGAAAGAATTTCTTCCTGATATCTAATCTAAATCTCCCCTCTTTCAGTTTAAAACCATTACCCCTTGTCCTGTCACTACACTTCCTGACAAAGAGTCCCTCCCCAGCTCTCCTGTAGCCCCCTTCGGGTACTGGAAGGCCGCTATAAGGTCTCTCTGGAGCCTTCTCTTCTCCAGGCTGAACAACCCCAGCTCTCTCAGCCTGTCTTCATAGGGGAGGTGCTCCAGCCCTCTGACCATTTTTGTGGTCCTCCTTGGGACTCATTCCAACAGATCCATGCCCTTCCTGTGCTATTTCTAGCTTTACTAATACTTTCCTACAAAAAGCGCCGTGCTCCTCTTTGTAAACCAGAGGAAGGTTGAGGCTGCTGGTTTGACAAACATCACCAGTAATCGCCTCTGGAGTGAGACTGGTCTGTGGAGGAGAACTAAAGCTGGCCAAGGCATAAAGCCTCTGGGGTTTGTGGCGTGGAAGTCGGTCACTGGGACGAGGGACCTGGCAGACCCTGTGCCGTGCAGATGTCAGATCACCCTCTGCAAAACGCCGCTCCTGTGCTCCTCCTCCCCCTGCAATGGGGTGATTCCTCTGGGAACGCACCGTCCTTGGCCTGCCCTCATTTTTTTTTTTTTTTTTTTTTTTTTTTTTTTTTTTTTGCTTTGAACGTGTGCCAGCGCTGGGAGCAGAGGCACCTTGGTGTGCTCGGGCAGCTGTAGCGGTGAGGTACACGGTGACTCTGATGCTGTGTGTGACTGGACTGCTGTTGGCAGAAGGATGCAGCATCCAGACACCGCTTACCTGAGCCAGGGGTTTGCCAGGATGGGGCTTGCATTTGCTATTGTCCATTTTTATTTTTTTTTTTTTTTGGCTGAGCAAAAGCACTTGGCTGTTTCGGGTCAATGCTGGGTTAAAACGGCTTCAAGCTGGAGGGATGGCTTCAAGCTGGAGGGGAACAGATTTAGACTGGAGATTAGGAGAGGGTTCTTCACTGTGAGGGTGGTGGAGCACTGGAACAGGTTGCCCAGGGAGGTGGTTGAGGCCCCTTCCCTGGAGATATTCAAGGAGAGGCTCGATGAGGCCCTGGGCAACCTGGTCTAGTTGGGGGTGTCCCTGCTGACTGCGGGGAGGTCGGACTAGATGGCCTTTGGAGGTCCCTTCCGGCCTGGGCAATTCTATGATTCTATTCTATAAAACAAAACTTTAAACTGATTTCAAGTGTGTACGCTTAATTTATAAAGCTTCCAGGCTTCAACTGCGTTTGGTTTCGTTGCAGCAATTAGTCAAAAATGTAAGTGGCAATTAGTTATTACAACATAACTGGCCACGTGTTGGCAGTTAGATCTCCGTCGCATTTACGGCATGGTTTTTTGAAGTTTTAATTGTAGTTTGACATGATACTGGAGCTGCTGGGCGCTCTGCTAAACAAGTACAAAAGCTGTCGATGAGCTTAGTGTAATATGAAGAGATGTCTATTGTGTTACTGCAATATCACGTTAGGCATCAGCGTGTGCATTTATTAAAAAAATCAGTTTAATATCTGCACTTAGAGAAGGGATAGCTCCAGGGTTTATGCAGTGGTCACTTTTAATCTGGAATTTTTGCTGGGTTGCTACATAAATAAGGACCTCTGCTCTTTGGATGAGAAAATGAATCCTGAAACTGCAAGCTTTTAATAGAGCTGCCTCATTAGCTGTGCCTTGTATAACTTGCAAAACCGTGTCATGTTTGGTTGTCTTCCGTTTATGTCCCTTTCCCCCCTCATTAAAACATTCCCGTGTGCTAGTGTGAAATGTTTCATTATGGTTTGGGAAAGTTCAGCTGACCTCAGTGTGAATGTGAGCAATGGAGCTCCCCAAAAATGGGATTTCCTGAAATCCCTGAATCCTGAAGGTTCAGGTGGCCGGCTCCACCAGAGCTGAGTGTCAGCGTGGTGCCTCGGATGATCATGTGAAATAGGGGGTTTTGTTTTAGCTTGTTTTCTTTTCCTTGTGTTTTTTTTTTTTTCATTACTTCCTGATAAGTTGTCACAGGGCTTTCCCAACATCACATGAGAGCCAGCCTGAAGCCTTGGTGTGTTTTGAAACTCACAGCTGACTGAATCTGGCTGCTTTATGGTCTCTTGCTGCAATTAATGTGTTGCAAGTGGACATGGGAAGCCAGTTCTTTTTAGTGTGTTCTTACTGGAACACCAGAACTGATGGAAATGTTTAGATACTTTGGTTAACAGAGTGAAACCTTCTACAGTTGTATATAAAATACTGTCCCAGTTGGGAGGAGGAGGAGTAGGAGGAGGGTGATTAGTTTTTTCCTCTTAACCCCGTCATCATTGCATCCTGGCCTCCTAAAGTCTGTCTTTGGAATATTTAATGTGAAACAGCTTTCTCTGTATAGGCTTTCTCATCGTTGAGACCTACACTTTGACAATGCTAAGTGTATTAAATAAAGCCTATTACACGAAGGCTTGATAGTAGATTAAATGGGTAGTCTTAAAGGAATTTATCTGCAGTGCTAAGACTTGCAGGTCACAGATCACTTATTTAACTCTTTGTCTGCTTTCTTTTTCTTTTTTGCTTTTTTTTTTTTTAAAGTTGTAAAGCTAAATAAATACCTGTGATGGCTAACCCTGTTGTTTACTTTCCTTCTCTTCTCCCCCACCCTCCTTTTTGGTCTTTCCTCTACCCAGTGAGATTGCATCAAAATGTCTCTCTATCCTTCCCTGGAAGATCTGAAGGTGGACAAAGTTATTCAGGTATGAGGGGCTTTTTAATAAGATGAGTTTTGATGACAAAATAGATGCAATTATTTTTAATCTGGGGGGGATACTTTTATTACAGGTGTGAGTCTGTGTTTTATCACCATATTCTAAAAGGCGAAAGACAAACTGTTTACTTTATAGCTTGATATGATATGATTAATGTTTATTTTATCACTGTTGGGTATATTTATTTTGTTTTACGTATTCATTTGTAGACATTTGTCTTTAATGTGTTGATATGTTTGGTCTTTTTAAGTAGAGATACTGGGTCTTACGTAGACAAACATAGTCAGTCTCTTCTCATACTTCAGTTCTGACGTGGTCAATAGGTATTGACTGAACTGATAAACCTGCTGTGTCTCATTCCTGGTGTCCAGACCTGTGGCAGAAAGTTTTCATGGTCAGTTGGGCACAGAAAAGAGCAGTGACTCTCTTAACATCGTCTAGAATCACAGACCTGTCCTCTTGCTTTTTTGTGGTGGTGACCAGTTCTCTCCATACTTCCAAGGTTATCACATTTGTGTGACATCCTTTGTGTGTAAGAATATTCCTATCTTTATTATTAGGTAGGATGAGGATGAAAAAAAAAAATAATCTGTGAAATTAAATAATGAAAAACACTTCAGTAGATAAAACTCCATGAGAAATTGGACACAAATGTATTTTATGAGGAGTTTCCTTGCTTTCTTCAGCATTTTACTTAGCTTCCATTTTGTTTCCTAAACTTAATCTGTATTTCCTCCCAATTTAAACGGCAGTGAGTTATGCTGCTGCTTCTGTCTTGTCCTCACTGGGAAGCAATCAAGCAAAAAGCACAGAAGAACTCATTAATTCTCCTGTGCTGTCCCACAGTGGAGTGTCTAAGCCTCAGCTGTGTTTGTGTGGGCTGGAGATCTTGAAGCTGTGGGTGCTGTGTTGAGATTTCTCTTTGTGCCTGCACACCCCACCCCGCCTCATTCTTCTTATCTTACCAAAGTCCTTTATCTATAGTCAGGTAATGCTGAAAAAAACCCCAACAACCTAGCCTGGAGCTAAGAATGTGTTCCCTCAGCCTTTTAGTGACCAACTGCTAGTGTTTATATATTGCAATTAAAAAATATTAAATGTGGTCTTTCTACTACTTAGTTTCTGTGACTACTGACTGAAGCAGTAAGGAAAAGTAGGGTATCTCTATGCTGAGTCCTTTAGACCTTGAACCATAGATATAAGTTCTGTCACTTTATGGAACAGGGACTCTTCTTGTGCGTTGTCCTGCCTGTATGTTCAGCAGGGCTTATGGACTTGGTCAGAAGTACCTTGTTCGTGTGACTACGCGTGTAGTCTGTTGTGTTAATGAGAGTAAACCCTATAGAGGTTTCTGTAGGGAGCATAACAAACTGTTCTGCTGAATTTGTTTAATCCTTGGTGATGTTGTAATCTCAAAGGTCAGTTTTCCGGAAATCAGTTCGTGCAGGACAGATGCTTGCTGTTGCACTTAAAGAGGAGCATCCACTCGAAGTTTAAATTGGGTTTTCACAAAGTTCTACTACTTGATGAGTGGGATGTCAAGCAAGACAGCTCGATGAGGAAATTCACATGGGGGTGGGAGAGAAGGGAGGTGGAGTTAGGAGCATTCGCTTACAAACACCCCCAGTGGAGAAGCTTGAGTGTTCTTGTTGCCATCGTCAATGGGGAAGGTGGCCCTTCAGCAGTGACGTGACAGCATCTCACTCTCACCAACTGTAGGAGGAACTAGAGGGGGCTAATGGGCTGTCTGCTGAGTATAGATGCGTGAGGGGAAGTAAACACTCTTGTTGCCAAATGCCATTATTTGAAGAGTAAGCAATTCCATTTTCACTGATATTTTTGGTAGCAAAGGTTAAAATATTTGCCTCTTCCAAAAACTGCATTATAAAACTGCTGTCTTTTTAAATACAGCTGAGAGCACTCTTAGGAGAAAAAGGGAAAGTACTGAAAAAGAAAGTCTTTCCCAGAAGTCAGTAAAGTGAGATTAAAATGACTGGTGGTTGAAACAAATGGACTTGTTACATTAAATACTCTAACCTGGTTTGTTGTCCAGCATTTGAGTTGGAGTCTATTATTCTAAATACAACTGATACTGAAAAAATGAGTCATTCTTGCTCTGAAACTTTTTTTTTCTGAAAACAACTTCCTGGAGAGTACAGGACTACGAAGTCTTCTATTTTTAAGCATGATTTCCTTAAAAACATTAAGTAATTTGACCATCACGTTGTGTTAGATGATTTATGTATCCTGTTCAGTTTAATGTTTCACTATGCATTTAGTAATTTCCCTTCCTCCCCCCACTTCTGACGTTCAACCTCAGGAAAGCTGTTGGGATAGCTATTTCCATCACACTCAACAGGCCTCTGTAAGGCAGTGTTTTCACTGGTCATGATTAGTGACCAAGGCCAAAGAAGGAGTAGCTGAGGTATTGAGAAAGAAGCCCAATTAAAGCAAGTCAGTTTCCTTCTATTTGTGAGTCAGTAAGCAATATAGAAATTCATTTTAGTGTGTTCACTATAGTGGCAGCTCCTGTAGAAAAATCATCTTAGAAGTTTAACACCTTCTGAAAGAAATGGACCAAGTAGCACTGGATTGTGTGGAACTTGCAACCTATAAAGGACTGTGGTAGAACTCATGAATAACATCTGTAAATGGTGAAGAGATAAAAATGACTGCTATCGAGCTGAAAAAAGTCATTACAAAACACTCTGCCAAAGGTCATACCTTAAAACTTAACTTGGCTGACAAAGCTTTATAACTTTAATATGTCTTTTAGGGCTCTTCGTCTTGCTTGATGACAAAAACAGAACAGGTTGACATTAAAGCCTTTCTGCATTATTACTGTGGCCTGGTCTCTTAGGAAGATACAAGTTAATCTACCAAAATAGTTTGATACTAGTATGGCATATTATATTGAAGTTATCTATTTTAAAGAAAAAGACTGACTTCAGAACTCCAAGATTAATAGGAACCAGCATGTACAAGAAAAAGGGAAATACTTAGTCTCCTGTCTCCATAATAACGATTTCACAGGTGTGTTTCTTTTCTTGTGCAAGATGACTGATGTGAGTTTCTTTGCTTTCAGGCTCAGACTGCCTTTTCTTCAAATCCAGCTAACCCAGCAATCTTGTCTGAAGCTTCTGCCCCCATTGCTCACGATGGAGGTAAGCTCATCTACTGTGTAGTATCCTAAGGTTGTGGAAAGCAGCTATGAAATCATTCAGTTAACGGTACGGTCAAAAATACCTATGAATATGTAGCTCTGTTTCCAAAGGATGAGACCGTGCCTTTGTGGAAATGCCAACACCCACTTTGGTAAATACTATAGGAGTCAAAAACCCCAGTGTTTGCTTATAAAAGGAAGTTGTGGCAAACACTAACCCTTCTCTTAATTTTCGCAACCTTTTCCAAGTGACCGTAGGGTAGCAAGATTTGCTGTTGGTACAGTTTGAACTCTTTTTAACTCTTGCCTCAAACACTTAATTGTCCTTATTTATCATGTGCATATCTGTAAGCTTTAGAGGGCAGCACGAGCCTGAGCATCTTTCTTCACAGAATCTTCTAGGTTGGAAGGGACCTTAAAGATCATCTTGTTCAACCGTCAACCTAACTGACAAAAATAGACACCCACACAACAAACAGGAAGCATCACCATCACTAAACCATACCTCCCAGCACTACATCAACCTGTCTTTTGAACACCTCCAGGGATGGTGCCTCAACCACCTCCCTGGGCAGCCCATTCCAATGGCTGATAACCCTTTCAGTGAAAATTTTTTTCCTAATATCCAGCCTGAACCTCCCCTGGCGTAACTTGAGGCCATTTCCTCTCGTCCTGTCGCCTGTGACTTGGGAGAAGAGACCGATCCCCATCTCTCTACACCCTCCTTTCAGGTAGTTGGAGAGAGCAATAAGGTCTCCCCTCAGCCTCCTCTTCTCCAGGCTGAACAACCCCAGCTCCCTCAGCCTCTCCTCATAAGACTTACTCTCCAGACCCCTCACCAGCTTCCTTGCCCTTTTCTGGACCCACTCCAGCACCTCTATGTCTTTTTTTGTGGTAGGGGGCCCAAAACTGGACACAGTACTCAAGGTGGGTACTGTGGGTACTCTGTATGAGCTTGCTTAGGAACAGATAAACACGAATCTCTGAACAGAGAAGTGCCTAGGAAAGTGGAATTTAATCTTGTCATGCTATCAGCATGAAGCTTCCTGCAGATTTTGGGATCAAATGTCTGGTGGGAAATCATCAGACCTAAAGCTGAATGACTTGTACCCATCTCTCCTCCTCTTTCTCCTATGTGTGTGTACATCCACAAAGGTGCACAGGTGTGTTTGAGGTCAGAGCTCTGGTTAGGCTTGGTCTAAAAGCCCTAAAGCCTCTAACCAGTGTGACCAGCAGCAGTGCTGTAACAGCTGTCAAAAATGCAGGTGGATAAGATGCTAAAGCTTGGGGAATGTAACTGTCTCCATTTCTCCTCTTGGTGCTGATCTGTCTTAGATGATTTTAAGTTGGGAGTCTGTGTAGCTCACCGGAGAGCTTCCTCTCATAGATCCTTTCTGGAATAGATCCTGACCTGGTCTAACCTTGCCTGACGAGATTTGAGGCTGCTTCAGCAGTCTCTTCTTGGCATCATTCTTTCTGCTGTCCAGAACTTGAATTCCCCTGCAGTTTCTGTGCCTGCTGGCCAAATGACGTGATTTTCACATCAGCTTATCATAGAATCATAGAATGGTTTGGGTTGGAAGGGACCTTAAAGATCATCCAGTTCCAACTCCCCGGCCCTGGGCAGGGACACCTTCCACCAGACCAGGTTGCTCAAGGCCCCATCCAGCCTGGCCTTGAACCCCTCCAGGGATGGGGCAGCCACAGCTTCCCTGGGCAACCTGTTCCAGTGTCTCACCACCCTCATAGTAAAAAATTTCTTCCTGAGATCTAATCTGAATCTTTTTTCTTCCAATTTAAAACCATTTCCCCTTGTCCTATCATTACCCTTCCTGGCAAAGAGTCCCTCCCCATCTCTCCTGTAGGGTCCCTTTAGGTATTGAAAGGCCGCTATAAGGTCTCCCCGGAGCCTTCTCCTCTCCAGGCTGAACAATCCCAGCTCCCTCAGCCTGTCTTCATAGGAGAGGTGCTCCAGCCCTCAGATCATCTTCATGGCCCTCCGCTGCACCTGTTCCAGCTGGTCCATGTCCTTTCTGTGTTGAGGACTCCAAAGCTTGTGTGTGAATTGCTCAGGAGCTGCAGTCTGATTATCACTCAATGTATCTCAATGGAAGGGAGGCCTGTACCATCTATAGGATGTGCCAAACCTGCTGGGAATATCTCTCTCCTGGCAGAGGCAGGAGAATATACAACATCAAGAAATTTTGGATGTTTTCTGCAATTTGGAGGTGTGTCTTTTGAATGAAAATGTAATACAGCCAGCAAAGACACATCCTGTGTTGTGGTTTCTGATAAAGAACAATAGAGAAGAATCAAGTAGCTGCAGAAGTCTTGTGCAACACTAATTGTGTTTAATCCTAGGGACTTGAAAATGCAAACAAAAGACAACCATAGAATAAATGTTCATTTTAAGCTTATAAATCAATATTGATGAAACTACAAGCTGATAGATCAATCTGGAAAGAAGATCAGTCAGGACAGCTCTCGTGAAGCAGCATGCAAACATACCACTGAAAGTATTAAGGAGCAAAAAAAGTCTCTCAGTTATACTGGAATTCATGTTGCCATGACCTTTGTGTTCCTTCCTAGAAAAGCTACTTTCCATTTCTGGTCGAATGTGGATTCTTATAATAGCTAGTTTTTGCACATAACCATAAATGAGCACTAGAAACCTAAGCTCTGAGAACCGGGGAGCCTGCCTCCTTCCCAGGCTGTCCCTTGCACCACCTCACTTTCCGAGCAGCCTTTTCTGTTGCCACTGATTTGGTGAGAACAGCAAGTGGACTCTTTAAGAGTTCTTGTAACTGCCACTTGTTAAATCCTGCTGGTTAATTATCTGTGGAATGTCAAGAGCAGTATGAAGCTTATTTCCAGAGTGGTTTGACTCCAGGTCTGACAAGTCTGTCAGTTTAACTTCTTTTCTTCCTGCTCCCTGCGCCCCACTCCTCTTGGGTGTAGAGGAATCTCCTGCAAGATATTTGAAGGACCACGGTGGGTTTGTCTTGTTGAGAAGTATGTCTAAAACAACTTCATTTTGAAGCTTTGAGAAAATGACAGCTACTTTTTTATGAAGAATATTAAAGCGGACTGCACTGTGGACCTTACAGCCAAGAGGCTGTCTTCTGCAGAAACCTTACCATGTCTGAGATCTGGACTGTCCTTGGCATGGATGTCTCTTCCAAGAGCTCTTACCTGGTTGGGGGGTGGGAGATAGACTAGTTCCCCACTAATTGCCCAAAAGTTTTGGAGCGAGGTCATGTTTTCATGGCTTGGAGCACAATGTTGGTTTTGGAATGTATCACCATGTGTCTAATGCCATTTGTGCCGTAAACGATGACTGAAGTAACTGAAACAAAGAGCTTACAGAGAACTTTTTATCTCAAACGTGCTGCTTCTCTGGTTCCTTTTCTAAGGTGGGCAAGAATAACAGTCCTGGTTCAAGTGAGTCTTCCATTCTAACTTTCAAATTAGATAGATTACAATAGCACAAGTTTTGTTGAAGTAATTGTACCTGTGATAGCAACATCTATTTGTTCTGTTAAACCAACAATTGTATTGATGGGGGTTTTTTTGGTTTGTTTTCCTCCTATAGGTGTATACCCCAGATTGTATCCGGAACTTTCTCAGTACATGGGCCTGAGCCTCAATGAGGAGGAGGTGCAGAGGAACCTGCCAGTGGCAGCAGCTGCTCAGCCACAGGGTGTAGGTACCAGTCAAGCCTGTCTTAAAATGCCAGATAAATACTTTTTCTGGAGAGTAGACTACTATTTCTCTGAAGTACCATACTTGACTGATAAAGGAATTGTTTTAAGTGACTGCCTATTTTATTTTGGTCTTAAACTGAGCAGTGTATTTCCAGTGTTGGGGGGTGGAGAAGAAGAGCTGGTGTTGGAACTTAATTTGTGTGTTGTGGGTTTTGTGCGGGGTGGTTTGTTGTTTTTTTTTTTTAATATCACTTGATATAAACTGACGTATAGCTATTTTTAAAAAGTTGAAACTAAGTTGTCTGGCTATTTTGTTTTAATCAGCAACTGGTAACACGACCTTCTACTAATTACATGGTAGCTCCAGTGACTGGAAATGATATTGGAATTCGTAGAGCAGAAATCAAGCAAGGCATCCGCGAAACAATTTTGTGTAAAGATCAAGATGGCAAAATTGGACTTCGCCTCAAGTCTGTTGACAATGTAAGTACAGAAGTTTGCTTTTGCCTATAGAGATCTTACTGCTGGATTAAATTAGTAGTGAAGTTAGTGTATGGTCACAAAACTGTCTTCTGTCTTGCTTATCCATTATCAAAATTTTAAAATCCCTCATTAGACCAGTAACTAAATTTCCAGATGTCCAGACTAGGATCTAAATTTACAGCGGCAATTTACTTTCATGTGTTTTAGAACACCTGAAAAATACTTGTGAACTTTTTTCGATTTCCAGATGTCCCAGACTAGGATCTAAATTTACAGTAGCAATTTACTTTCATGTGTTTTATAACACCTGAAAAATACTTGTGAACTTTTTTCCACTTTAGAGCATGAAATTGTCCTTGCAGAGCTGCTGTGATACTTGGTCAAGACTTTTCTCTCTATCTTTGTGGAAACACTTGGCAGTACTTAAAAGTTCAGCAGCGTGCAGAGCACTGCCCGTGCCATAGAAATAGCTTTTTTATAGATTCTTGCAGTGTGTTGCTGGTGAGAAAAGTGCAAATAGTGAGGGTGTCTCCTCACCTATATGTAATTTCAGAGTAGGCTTTTTTGAGTTTCCCTTAACATGACCATAGCTGCAAGGATATCCTTAAACCTTCTCTACAACTTCTGTTTCAGTATCTCTTGATTCTCAATATGGAAAATCCTATTTTTTTTTTCTTGGCAAGGTCATTTAATCTGAACATTTAAAAAAAATAAAATTGTACTTGATGTTTCATATAGGGTTAAAAGTGCTTTTATGTACTTCTCCTAACTCAGGAAATGCTGAGGTTTTCTTAAAGTAGCATGTTTTGGTTTTATGTGTGTGTTATGTTGGTTTTTTTTAAACACTGCTCCCCCACCCCAAGGTATTATCTACAGTTTGTTTTGATACACTTTACTGGTTTTTTAGTTGTACTTTCACTAGAAATAGTTTAAAACCTTGTTTTTGGTTTTTTTAATCTGAGGTACTAGCAAGTCATAATTGATAAAAAGTTGAAAACTAATGGCGTTGTGGAAGAAGGAAAGATCTGCCATAGAGTTCCTGGCATCACTGATCTATTTCTACAGCTATATATAGACTCTGATGTCTTGCAAAGAAATTATTAGTCAAATGCACAAGGAGATATGCAAATTTACCACTCGTCTGTCTTGATCCAGTAGTTCAGATTTCTTGTTAGCACAGCATAGAGCATAGTACTTACTCTTTTGCGTAAGGCTTTAATGTTATGCTTGTGTCTGTTTTTAATGTCAAGGGATTTAGACAGAGCAGATTTGCCCATTTCTGAACTTTATTCTAGCATTAATTATCTCTGTCTCTTAAAGACATATAGAAAAAGACTGACATTCCAAAAATGCCCCTTAAGGAGAGCTAATAAGCAAGTCCTTCTGTCTGGTTAGTATTACATAGAGAATGGGACACTTTAAAGGGCTGTGTGTTCTGTCACTGGTCTTCATCTTTAAGGAAGAACTTCGTCTTTTTTTTCCTTCTCATTTTTTTCTTCCCTTTTTTCTCTTTTGCAGGGTATATTTGTCCAGTTAGTGCAGGCAAATTCTCCAGCATCCCTTGCTGGTCTGCGGTTTGGGGACCAAGTTCTGCAGATCAATGGTGAAAACTGTGCAGGATGGAGTTCTGATAAAGCACACAAGGTTCTGAAGCAGGCTTCTGGAGAAAGGATTTCAATGATCATCCGGGACAGGTAAAGCCAATTGCAGATATGGATTCTCATCATCCATTTCGGAGTCATTCTGTGGGGTTTGAGTCTCCCCTTGCTTGAGCAGGACTATAGGCATAACAAAATCTGTTTATCCACGTACTTCGATAGCAAAGATCCTCAGAAATGTTCCATTATGTGGGGAACAGTCAAAATAGTTGTTAATTTGTAAACTTCCAGCTCACGCTTGCCTGGGCATGATGAGGTGTGACATTTTTCAAGGTAAACTAATGACTGACAGCATTAGTCAAATTTAAACTCTGAATTCAAGAGTTCTGTGCCTTTTTTTGGACACGACTTTTGCTTATGCTAATTGAAAAAGCAATAAAAGATGGTACCAAAATATTCACTGTAATAGTGAATACACTTGTGGCTGCCCCATCCCTGGAGGGGTTCAAGGCCAGGCTGGATGGGGCTTTGAGCAACCTGGTCTGGTGGGAGGTGTCCCTGCCCATGGCAGGGGGTTGGAACCCCATGATCCTTAAGGTCCCTTCCAACTCAAACCATTCTGTGATTTTTATTTAGAATGATAGTTTTCTTGTGAGCTCTGGTTACATATGAACTAATGCCAGTTTTGCTTGATGCTTGATGAACCAATACAGGTTTTTAATTGTATTAAATAATGAGCTTGTATGTAGTAGGTATTTGTATGTAGCAGGAATAGGTCAGATTCAAGATAAGGTCTGCAGGCTATGACTAATGCCAGTTTTGCTTGATGCTTGATGAACCAATACAGGTTTTTAATTGTATTAAATAATGAGCTTGTATGTAGTAGGTATTTGTATGTAGCAGGAATAGGTCAGATTCAAGATAAGGTCTGCAGGCTATGAGAAGACAGATAATACATTATATGACTACCTACATGCTATTTGTATGTAGCAGTAATAGATCAGATTCAAGATAAGGTCTGCAGGCTATGAGAAGACAGATGATACATGATATGACTACCGACCTGTCTTGAAGCTTTTTTCAATGTTCATTCTTGTTTAAGAACCAAATTTGAGCCAGTGGAGGGCATGGTACTTCTATCAGAGAAGCTACTTCTATCCTGTATTGAATCCAAATGCTTTGGTAGTAGATTCCCTGCCCTGTCTGCCACTTCTGTGCCCAACTCCCCATGCCCTTCCTGGGTTTATGAGCTTTTTAAGACACAATTTAAAGGTTTATTGTCTGTACAGCAGTAGAAATGTTGTTGGGGAAGGCTTTTACTCCAGAATCCTGTGGTCTACCTCCAGTTATTAAAGCTGCCTCTGCTGTTTTATCTGCCTTGTAAAGTTTGTAGAGAGAACTTAATACATGTTTGTGTTTGGTTGGTTGTTGGGGTGGGTGGGTGGATGTTGTATGATATTTTTTGTATTATTGTTAATCCAGACAGTTCGCCTGGTAGAACAGGGGAAACATTTGAGGTTTAGAAACAAGTATGTATTAATATAACAATATTAACAAAATGAAGTTAAACCCAACTGTGTTCTATTGTAGTTGATGTACGAGTCACTGCTTAGAGTACAATTACTTTTTGTGCATCAAAGATGCTGAAATAATGTGTGGTTCTTCTGTGGTTTAATAGACTGAAAATATGGGTTTGCATTTTAAATATCTTGTAGGCCTTTTGAACGAATTATTACCATGCACAAGGACAGCACAGGGCATGTTGGCTTCATCTTCAAGAATGGAAAAATAACCTCAATAGTGAAAGACAGCTCTGCTGCGAGAAACGGACTTCTGACAGAGCACAACATCTGTGAAATTAATGGCCAGAATGTAATTGGATTGAAGGTAAAAGAAGTAATATGTGGTGGGTGTGGATAGCTGTGAGCTTTTTGTGCACATACAATAATTGTGTTTTGGAGGGGGAAAAAGATTGTAATACTTTATTTTATGAACACTTAACAATATAAGTCATGAGAGGTAACTTAACTGGACTGGAGAGATGTATGTTTTGAGGCAGCTTTGCAGTTTGTATCTGTAGGCAGGGCAGCTTGTTCTCTTCCTGCCTGGCTGGGCTGACCCTCAGCTTTTATCTGTAGGTTAACTTTGGAAAAACAAAGAGTAATCTTCCTCCTGCCAGCCTGGCTCCAGTTCTAGTAGGAATTTTGTGTATAAGGTTTGTGTCCCTTCTCTAGTCAGTTTGTGCAAGATACCGATAACCAAACGCCTGTGAAGTGGTATTGCAGGGTCAGTGGTTTGCCCTGAGGGTTAAATACCCCAGGAGAGGGGCTGTGTGTGTAGGTCTCTTAAGCTGTGTGAAATGTGAAAAAAAAGCTCTGGAACTGCTGCTTTATTTGTCAGCTTGAGTAACGGTGCTCATGTGACTTCTTGTTTAATTACAGGACCCCCAGATTGCAGACATCTTGGCAACAGCTGGAAATGTAGTGACCATTACCATCATGCCTTCCAGTATTTATGAGTATATAATAAAGAGGTAGGTAATAAACAAAGCAGCCGTGGTGTTAATTACAGTTGAGTTGACAGTGAGTATTATTTATAGGTTAAATACAAGGTACTCATGATAAGACCTAATTACAGACTTGACATGAAAGCTGGCAAGGGGGTGGGGAAAGTCTGAAAATGTGCTTAATCTGATGTTTTAGACAAGCCAGTGGGGTTTTGGTTCTGTTTTTCAGCTATTCATTTTGGTGATGATCCTTTGCCTTTTGCTCTTAGAAAAGCCCTTTTCTAAACATAATTTAACTGAACTGGAGTTTCTGAGAACTCTCAAATATGTGGATAACACACGTATTTGGTACCTTGTAACTAAAATGCAACTAATTCTGGTGACGTAAACATGATTCTTGGCAGGATATAGCTGGCTTCTTTCTAATCCTTTGGCAGCCGTGGCTTTCTACAGCTAAATCTCTCCTGCAAAAATGTTTTTGAAGTTGCTAGAAATTAATAACGCTCTGGTTACATATGAATTAATTCCAGTTTTGCTGTAAGTATGCTTGATGAACCATTACAGATTTTTAATTGTATTAAATAATGAGCTTGTAGCTATTTGTATGTAGCAGTAATAGATCAGATTCAAGATAAGGTCTGCAGGCTATGAGAAGACAGATGATACATGATATGACTACCGACCTGTCTTGAAGCTTTTTTCAATGTTCATTCTTGTTTAAGAACCAAATTTGAGCCAGTGGAGGGCATGGTACTTCTATCAGAGAAGCTACTTCTATCCTGTATTGAATCCAAATGCTTTGGTAGTAGATTCCCTGCCCTGTCTGCCACTTCTGTGCCCAACTCCCCATGCCCTTCCTGGGTTTATGAGCTTTTTAAGACACAATTTAAAGGTTTATTGTCTGTACAGCAGTAGAAATGTTGTTGGGGAAGGCTTTTACTCCAGAATCCTGTGGTCTACCTCCAGTTATTAAAGCTGCCTCTGCTGTTTTATCTGCCTTGTAAAGTTTGTAGAGAGAACTTAATACATGTTTGTGTTTGGTTGGTTGTTGGGGTGGGTGGGTGGATGTTGTATGATATTTTTTGTATTATTGTTAATCCAGACAGTTCGCCTGGTAGAACAGGGGAAACATTTGAGGTTTAGAAACAAGTATGTATTAATATAACAATATTAACAAAATGAAGTTAAACCCAACTGTGTTCTATTGTAGTTGATGTACGAGTCACTGCTTAGAGTACAATTACTTTTTGTGCATCAAAGATGCTGAAATAATGTGTGGTTCTTCTGTGGTTTAATAGACTGAAAATATGGGTTTGCATTTTAAATATCTTGTAGGCCTTTTGAACGAATTATTACCATGCACAAGGACAGCACAGGGCATGTTGGCTTCATCTTCAAGAATGGAAAAATAACCTCAATAGTGAAAGACAGCTCTGCTGCGAGAAACGGACTTCTGACAGAGCACAACATCTGTGAAATTAATGGCCAGAATGTAATTGGATTGAAGGTAAAAGAAGTAATATGTGGTGGGTGTGGATAGCTGTGAGCTTTTTGTGCACATACAATAATTGTGTTTTGGAGGGGGAAAAAGATTGTAATACTTTATTTTATGAACACTTAACAATATAAGTCATGAGAGGTAACTTAACTGGACTGGAGAGATGTATGTTTTGAGGCAGCTTTGCAGTTTGTATCTGTAGGCAGGGCAGCTTGTTCTCTTCCTGCCTGGCTGGGCTGACCCTCAGCTTTTATCTGTAGGTTAACTTTGGAAAAACAAAGAGTAATCTTCCTCCTGCCAGCCTGGCTCCAGTTCTAGTAGGAATTTTGTGTATAAGGTTTGTGTCCCTTCTCTAGTCAGTTTGTGCAAGATACCGATAACCAAACGCCTGTGAAGTGGTATTGCAGGGTCAGTGGTTTGCCCTGAGGGTTAAATACCCCAGGAGAGGGGCTGTGTGTGTAGGTCTCTTAAGCTGTGTGAAATGTGAAAAAAAAGCTCTGGAACTGCTGCTTTATTTGTCAGCTTGAGTAACGGTGCTCATGTGACTTCTTGTTTAATTACAGGACCCCCAGATTGCAGACATCTTGGCAACAGCTGGAAATGTAGTGACCATTACCATCATGCCTTCCAGTATTTATGAGTATATAATAAAGAGGTAGGTAATAAACAAAGCAGCCGTGGTGTTAATTACAGTTGAGTTGACAGTGAGTATTATTTATAGGTTAAATACAAGGTACTCATGATAAGACCTAATTACAGACTTGACATGAAAGCTGGCAAGGGGGTGGGGAAAGTCTGAAAATGTGCTTAATCTGATGTTTTAGACAAGCCAGTGGGGTTTTGGTTCTGTTTTTCAGCTATTCATTTTGGTGATGATCCTTTGCCTTTTGCTCTTAGAAAAGCCCTTTTCTAAACATAATTTAACTGAACTGGAGTTTCTGAGAACTCTCAAATATGTGGATAACACACGTATTTGGTACCTTGTAACTAAAATGCAACTAATTCTGGTGACGTAAACATGATTCTTGGCAGGATATAGCTGGCTTCTTTCTAATCCTTTGGCAGCCGTGGCTTTCTACAGCTAAATCTCTCCTGCAAAAATGTTTTTGAAGTTGCTAGAAATTAATAACGCGTCAGGTGTAATTGAGTCTTCCCGCCCTGCATACTTGATATGCTCTTGTTTGAGCAACCTGCTCTAGTGGGAGGTGGAACTCGATGATCTTTAAGGTCCCTTCCGACTCGAACCATTCTGTGATTCTCTTCCTACAAACCAGTTTTCTGCCCAAGAGCCACCTTTCCCCCTGCCCTCCCTGCACACATGCCCACCTTCTGAAAGATGTTGATAAGGAGCTCAGTTACTCAGTGTTTTTATTAGTATCGTGGGCTTCTCTTCTCTGTGTGCAGTTTGGCACATCTGTTGGCAAAGATAGTGAAGCGAAAGGCCAGCTTTTGAATGGTATTAAAGGCGTAGCAATGACAGATTAGATCTCAGGAAGAAATTTTTTACTATGAGGGTGGTGAGACACTGGAACAGGTTGCCCAGAGAAGCTGTGGCTGCCCCATCCCTGGAGGGGTTCAAGGCCAGGCTGGATGGGGCTTTGAGCAACCTGGTCTGGTGGGAGGTGTCCCTGCCCATGGCAGGGGGGTTGGGACTCAATGATCTTTAAAGTCCCTTCCAACTTTAACCATTCTATGATTCTATGATTCCCAGGTTAGTCTCCCTCAAAGACAAGAGGGGATATGATTTTCCCCATTACTTTAATTATATCACTTTTTAGTATATTGATTAAGGAAACATTTGCTATATGTGAGAATTGTATTTCATCTGAAAGAGATTTCTTTAGCATAACAGTATTAGTGTGATGGCAATGAGCTGTGAGATGGAATAAAGTTGACACCATATGTATTATTATGTGTTGAGGGGAGTATCCTAGCACCACAGTGTTAAAAAACATAGTTCTTCGGGACTGTAAGAGATCCAGGCATTCATTAATAGCATAACATCTGTGGCTTGTAGGCAATATCAAAGCCAAAGCAAATTAAAAATGTGTGACTCTAAATGGGAGGGGCAACA